TGCATTAAAACAATTCATTTTATCTTTCACCACAGCTACAAAACGTAATGGCGGAGATTAATAATTTAAATGGAGAGGTACCATGACACAATTCTCCTGCAACTTTACGTTATTTGAAAAAATAATTGATTTTAGAGAATGTTTCTTACCTTTTTCTTTTGTAAAAAATGTAAAAATATATATATTTATTATATCACACAAGTAGTTCATTTTTAACTCTTGAATGTAAAATATATATTAAAATATCTCACAATATTAATATAGAATTTGTTATATTAATTCCATATTTATTGTGAATGATAAAAAATAAAAAGACATTTATTTACAGATAATGTTCTTAAGAACTTACTAAAAGTAAACACGTATTAGGAAAATTGGCGTCTTAAAAATAATGATAAAAAAGTTTATAATTAAAAATGAATAAAATAGAAATATTTATAAAATATATCAAATTAATTCTGTATTAGTGTATGTCAGGACTTCGGTCTAGGTAGCCCACTATCCAATGGTATTAATGTGTGTGTGTTATATAAAAAATAGGTAAATTAAATATACATATTTACATCAATGACATTTTCTAAAAAAAAAAAAGGTCAAATACAATAAAAAATTAATATAATGAAAGAAATAGAATATATGTAAAACGACATTTGAAAATTATCCCGCATGTGTTTCTTTTAAATGAAAAATCGAAATTTATTTTTAAAAGAATAAAAGAAACACATGCAGGATAATTTTCAAATGTCGTTTTAAAATCATAAGCCGTATTATAAATAGAATATATATATATTTTAACTTATATAATATAGATGAGAGAGAAAGGGAGCTTTAGCTTAGAGAACAAAACACAGAAAATCTGTTTACAGAAAAACTTAAATGAGAACACAATTCTCTTTAAATATTATTTATGAAAAGTTTGTATTCCCACACACACCGCTATATGGAACTATACATTGTGTTCAGTTATATCTTTCTCCCATTCTATCTAAATATATGTATATAGCCATTTATAGTTACTAACACAACGTTAGAACAAATCACCAATACGTTATAAATACGAAGAATATTTAAAATTCCATCAAAAGTAATAAAGACTAGATACTTCTATCGCTTTGTGAAAAAATAACAAAATTTTTCAGAAAATAAAGACATCAAAGAAAGAGGAAAATCTTCAATATATAATTTCTAAGTTTCTATAGAGGGGGTAAAAACTCGCATTTTTCAACAATTTCTTTTCACACAGCTTTCTTCTCATTATTCTTTTAGACGTTTTTTTTCTCCCATCAATGAAAATGGCAACTCTATTAAGGATCCTTTACTGAAGGAGCTATGCCCGCCATTATATCCCCGTCTCTCTCATAAATATTATTGACATGTGAAAGTATTTATTGACACACATTACATACTCTCTCTAAGGAAGGTATAAAAATATATTTCGATTATATAGTTTTTAAAACGACTCTTTCGCGAGATATATGTTATATATACAAGTATATATGTATATTAATAGTTTTTTTTTATATTTGGAAAAAAGAGGAAAAGTAAAATATTAAGAACTACAGATTTTGAATTAATTTTGAGTCAGAACAGCAAGATAATTCTGTATCAAATTCTCATAACTATACTATACTATATATATATATATATATATATATATATAATCTAAGAAGAAAATAAAAACTATTACTGGATTTATTTACTAAGGCCTTGTTATAGACTTTGGTAAATGTTTGAAAGATATCAAAATAATTCTCCAACTTCACCATTATTTTATACGTATTTTATTTGAAAAGGAACAAATAGTTATTACACTATTGATCGTTTGTTTCTGTGTGTTTTTCAATTCATTGTTTTGTTAATATGTAAATATATATTTTTAAAACCTTATATTGCGATATACACTGATAGAAATATTCTATGAAGTTGAAAGTCTTTAACGTGGCCGGTTGTCTTTTTTTTTAAGGACACAGAGGTTGTTGACACTTGGTTATCTCTTGTATCTTCAATAAAGGTGGCTGTAATATATTTTAGAGTTTTTGTCTGATCCTGATATACATGCTAAAAGTTACAACTTCCTTAAGTTATATCCATGAGTGTATATACTGTGTCTTCAATAAAGGTCACTGTAATATCTTTCAGAGTTATTGTCTGAATCCTGATATACATGCTAAAAGTTACAACTTCCTTAAGTTATATCCATGAGTGTATATACTGTGTCTTCAATAAAGGTCACTGTAATATCTTTCAGAGTTATTGTCTGAATCCTGATATACATGCTAAAAGTTACTACTTCCTTAAGTTATATCCATGAGTGTATATACTGTGTCTTCAATAAAGGTCACTGTAATATCTTTCAGAGTTATTGTCTGAATCCTGATATACATGGTAAAAGGTACAACTTCCTTAAGTTTTGTCCATGAGTGTATATACTGTGTATTCAATAAAGGTCACTGTAATATCTTTCAGAGTTATTGTCTGAATCCCGATATACATAGTAAAAGTTATAACTTCCTTAAGTTTTGTCCATAAGTGTATATTAATTGTTCGATTTTGTTAGCGCCATATTATTTTCAATTAAACGAAACTATATTTACCTTTCTTTATTATTTTATTTTACTTTTTTACTTTTCTTAAGTACAAGTAGTACAAGCAATGATCATCATGGTGATACCTAGCGACTATGTTTTACTGTAAGTACACCACCACATGTCTAGATACCTATCTCGTAGTAACTAGTTCAACCCTTGCTCTTACAAGGTGCCACATTTGGTTACTCGCACTCTCTGAGATCGTTTTTTAAAATAGAGCAATCCATAAATTATTTTTTAAATAAAAACTCATATATTGGATCAAAATATAATTTGATTGAAATTTTATTAAAATTTGATTAAAATAAATAATATTTCA